TTCAACAGAGAAGATGGATTCTGGCTTAGTAACCATTGGAAAGATGTTTTAAACCATTTCCGTTCTTAATTAATTTTATTTTACGATGACCTTCAGACCGCAGCTCTTTCGCTGGCATTGACTCTTAATACCTTTCACACCACGGTTAATGGTATGGTTTACAACATGGAGTATAACAGCACCTCGCAGCTGTCTCTCTCCCCCTCCTCCTTTCCGACCATGGATGAACTCGTCCGTCTGAACGGGGCTCGTAGCTATCCGTGGTGCTAAAGTTGAGGGTAAGAATCCACCCATTTTTTCGCAATATAGCATTGTGATATATAACGACTTATTGTTGGTAGCTTAGCTGATTGGAGAATATATAGAGTTTATTGATAACTTTGAGGTAGTTTATATTTTAGTTTTTTATTGGTTTACTATATGGTATTCATTATATAGTGTAGTGTATACCCAGTTACTGTTAATAGCTCAGCTTATTGAAGAATATATTGAGTACATTTATTATATTGATTTAATTTAGACTTGGGTTTTTTCACATCGGTTTACTATATGATAGTCGAGTTGTTGCAGCCCCTTTGGCGTCCATGTACTAGGTGCCTCTGTAGATGTGTAGGCTTTGACTTTAACATAGCTATTTATATGACCAGTCACAAGCTAATCCCTCAGTTATTTCAATGCTAAATTCTCCTGTTTGATTTGTACTAGGTGCCTCTGTAGATATGTAGGCTTTGACTTTAACATAGTTATTTCTATGACCAGTCACAAGCTAATCCCTCAGTAATTTCAATGCTAAATTATCCTGTTTAATTTGTACTAGGTGCCTCTGTGGATGTGTAGGCTTTGACTTTAACATAGCCATTTCTGTGACCAGTCACAAGCTAATCACTCAGCTATTTCAATGCCAAATTCTCCTGTTCGATTTGTACTAAGTGCCTCTGTGGATGTGTAGGCTTTGACTTTAACATAGCCATTTCTGTGACCAGTCACAAGCTAATCACGCAGCTATAAATGCTCAATTATCCGAACCAAACATTAAACTAATTTTCAATGGTACAGTATATTTTTTCAAGTAGTGGTATCCCAAACTGTCGCAGCAGCTTAAATTCCCTTTTCACACCATCATTATGTAAACTCCCCCTCCCCCCCTCGCCGGTCTGCACATGTTCACCCCCTCTACACCGTTCATCATGCTCAGTCCGCCAATTAAATGCTAATTTTTATGCTAATTCCTTTGTCAAGGCGCTCTGTATCTTCTCACACAGCTTAAAAGTCGCGGTCTGAGCTTGGCTGTGTTCGCTACAGCGCTGTCCTCCAGACAGTCTCGTCCCTTCACCTGATGAAGGCCACTTGTGTTGTGGCCGAAACGTCGTGAGAATTTGATTGTTATTTTATTTTATTAATTTATTCTTTTATTCTCATTCTACGTGACTTTACCGAAAGAAGCAAAGAAAACAAGAATACTGTATTGATACTGTCAACTTGTAACGCGATACTGGCGCACCGCAGAACCCGCTCCTGGCTCTCGTAGAGAGAGAAAACGACTCAGAGGGGCGATGAGGAGCCGGCGCCAACAATTGCCCGAGCTCTGCGGTCCACTACACATGAAGGTGTCAATGAAACAGCGAAGAGAGGGAAAACTTAAAAGAGAGTGGCTTGACGACGAAAAGATGTGTTGCACTACTTGAGAATATTGGCACAAGACGGAGGGAAGTGGAAACAAACGGCAAACTGCGAACTGGCTCACCTCAGGGCTGTCTTCCCATGGATCGTGATGATGACAGCAGTCAATTGATGAGCGGTGTTTACCTGTGCGAGGAAACCATTGGGCACAGAGGAAGCCCACGCGTTGCGTCGGGGGAAACACTCAATCCCGTGCGAATGTAACGGGTGGGAGTCCAAATGTTTGCCGTGCCGCCTTCTACTGGCGAGCCAGGGCACGATGGACGGCTCCTCCTCGACGCCCACGGGAAGAAGGGAAGTTCACAACCCGAGTGCCGGCGATTCACCAATCCTCCACAGGGCTCGCTTACAGGCAGCCGCGTGCACAGCCACCACCGCCCAACTAAAGTGTGTTATGAAGGACCGTTGTCTGAAACGTCGCCTGCTACGACTGTACGTGTGTGCTGTATATTTTCCCCTTTTAAGGTCACACACGGTGGCGTTGATGAATGTTGTGGAGATGTTTTTGTTGTTTTACAAACCGCAGTGGAGCGCGGTTCTCTCGCCGGACCGCGCGGCGCTCGCGCGCCCCCTGACGGCGCGCCTCCCTCTCTCCCTCCCTGCCTCCCTCCCTGTCTCTCTCCCTCCCTGCCTCTCCCTCCCTGCCTCTCTCCCTGCCTCTCTCCCTGCCTCTCCCTCCCTGTCTCTCTCACTGCCTCTCTCCCTGCCTCTCTCCCTGTCTCTCTCCCTCCCTGCCTTTCTCCCTGTCTCTCTCCCTGTCTCTCTGCCTCTCTCCCTGTCTCTCTCCCTGCCTCCCTCCCTGTCTCTCTCTCTCCCTCCCTGCCTCCCTTCCTGCCTCTCTCCCTGTCTCTCTCCCTCTCTCCCTCCCTGCCTCCCTCCCTGTCTCTCTCCCTCCCTGCCTCTCCCTCCCTGTCTCTCTCCCTGCCTCTCCCTCCCTGTCTCTCTCCCTGCCTCTCTCCCTGCCTCTCCCAGTCTCTCTCCCTCCCTGCCTCTCCCTGCCTCTCCCTCCGTCTCTCTCACTGCCTCTCTCCCTGCCTCTCTCCCTGTCTCTCTCCCTCCCTGCCTCTCCCTGCCTCTCTCCCTGTCTCTCTCCCTGTCTCTCTCTCTGCCTCTCTCCCTGTCTCCCTCCCTCCCTGCCTCCCTTCCTGCCTCTCTCCCTGTCTCTCTCCCTGCCTCTCTCCCTGTCTCTCTCCATGCCTCTCTCCCTGCCTCTCTCACTGTCTCTCTCCCTGTCTCTCCCTGCCTCCCTCCCTGTCTCTCTCCCTGTCTCTCTCCCTGCCTCTCTCCCTGTCTCTCCCTGTCTCTCTCCCTGTCTCTCTCCCTCCCTGCCTCTCTCCCTGTCTCTCTCCCTGCCTCTCTCCCTGTCTCTCTCCCTGCCTCTCTACCTGTCTCTCTCCCTGTCTCTCCCTGCCTCCCTCCCTGTCTCTCTCCCTGTCTCTCTCCCTGCCTCTCTCCCTGTCTCTCCCTGTCTCTCTCCCTGTCTCTCTTCCTCCCTGCCTCTCTCCCTGTCTCTCTCCCTGCCTCTCTCCCTGTCTCTCTCCCTGTCTCTCTCCCTGTCTCTCTTCCTCCCTGCCTCTCTCCCTGTCTCTCTCCCTGCCTCTCTCCCTGTCTCTCTCCCTGTCTCTCTCCCTGCCTCTCTCCCTGTCTCTCTCCCTGTCTCTCTCCCTGCCTCCCTCCCTGTCTCTCTCCCTGTCTCTCTCCCTGCCTCTCTCCGTCTCTCCCTGTCTCTCTCCCTGTCTCTCTCCCTCCCTGCCTCTCTCCCTGTCTCTCTCCCTGTCTCTCTCCCTGCCTCCCTCCCTGTCTCTCTCCCTGTCTCTCTCCCTGCCTCTCTCCCTGTCTCTCCCTGCCTCTCTCCCTGTCTCTCTCCCTGTCGCTCTCCCTGTCTCTCTCCCTGTCTCTCTCCCTGCCTCTCTCCCTGTCTCTCTCCCTGTCCCTCTCCCTGCCTCCCTCCCTGTCTCTCTCCCTGTCTCTCTCCCTGCCTCTCTCCCTGTCTCTCCCTGTCTCTCTCCCTGTCTCTCTCCCTCCCTGCCTCCCTTCCTGCCTCCCTCCCTGTCTCTCTCCCTGCCTCTCTCCCTCCCACGGCCTGACGAGGGGAATTTTACAGCAGGGCGATGGGACGCAGTGGTCCACGTGCACTGCGTGGTGAACAGGGTCCCCCGAGTTCAATTATCGCCCAAGATTCGGAGCTTCCGTGATGAAAGTCCGACGTTCCGTTTGTCCGTCAAGTGAAGTTTAAGAGCGTTTCAGAAGGCCTGAGTCAAAAAGTTACAGAAAGTGCGCCTCCCCCCCCGATGTGGGAGTAAAAAAGTTGATCCAACAGGTTGACAGCAATTGCCGAACGCCTCCCCTCAAACCATTTTTTTCACTCCCCCTCACCCAAAATAAATTTATTTTGTAGGCAGAAACTAGAAACATGCACATCCTACGTGCACACCCTACATACACACCCTACATACACATATATACATACACACCCTACATACACCAGTAGTACCCACATATATACATACACACCCTACATACACATATATACATACACACCCTACATACACACCCTACATACACCAGTAGTACCCACATATATACATACACACCCTACATACACCAGTAGTACCCACATATATACATACACACCATACATACACACCCTACATACACACCCTACATACACCAGTAGTACCCACATATATACATACACACCCTACATACACCAGTAGTACCCACATATATACATACACACCCTACATACACCAGTAGTACCCACATATAGACATACACACCCTACACACACCAGTAGTACCACCATATAGACATACACACCCTACACACACCAGTAGTACCCACATATATACATACACACCCTACACACACCAGTAGTACCCACATATATACATACACACCCTACATACACACCCTACATACACTAGAGTCATTAGAATCTCGCACACATTGGGGGGGGGGGGCGGTGAAGAAGGTGGACATCGGTGGGTGCGACGGGCGAGGCGGGAATGGCCGAGAAGCCCTCCACAGGAATTACAATTGAACTTAAATCAGCGGGGAATTGATATCGGAAACCGGTTCTGCGCCCCTCCCACCTCGGCACCTCCTCCACCTTTCACCAACCCACATTGACCCGCGTGGTGAAGTATGGTCACGACCGGCGGCGTGAGAAAGCCTGCACACGTTTGTATGTCGAACTTTTTTCGCACCGTACGTATCCAACCGTGCTAATCGCCAGTGAGATTGACAAAGCGACTGCAGCTGTTTAGGTCTCGCTCGCCTCGCCGCTCAGCGAGCACCAGCCCCGGGCTGAACCCCACCTCGAGTAGCGCCTCTTGCGCCCTCTCGTGCGCTTCTCGTATCCTCCGTGTCACCTCGGTGTCCCGCCGGAGTAGCCCCGCTTCGGGTGCCGTCCGGGGTCCTGCCCGGGGCCCTAATTGGCGGTCCCCTGCCACGCGCTCCATGGTGGCCACGGCGCAGCGCACGGCGCTCACCTCGCGGACCACGCGCTCCACGCGGCGCACGAGGCGAGCGAGGGTGAGGCGCACGGGCGCATCTCCATCACCACCATCACCGCCGCCATCACCATCATCACCACCATCCCAATCTTCATTAGCACAGACGCCACCGCCACCACCGTCGCCTCCGCGCGCCGAGCCCCTCAGCTGGTCCCGCGTAGCCGCCGCGTTGCGTGGGGAGCTCCTGTGGAGACGCGAGGGGGTCCCGCACCCCCGGGCTCCGGTCCGAACCGAGGTTTGCTGCAGCTGCTGCAGCTGCTGCAGTTGCAGCAGCTGAAGGTTGAGACCCCTGCGGCGGAAGAGCTCAGGGTCCCGTTTTGAGGGGGTCCCACCACCTCCTCCTCGGGTCACCGCGCCAGGCGAGGTGGGAGAGACCGGCGACTCTGTCCGCCGGGACTCGCGAATGACGAGGCACGGACTCTTCAACATTGCTCTTCCTTGTCCACACGCGGGTCCCTTCTATCTGTCCCGAGACAGCACCCGCCCCAATACCAAACACCGCTCTCCTTAGGAGACTTCACTTCATGCTCCCCGGGGTTTATTGACACGCACTGGAGACGCGTCTGTCGGTAGTTGCTGCCGCTGAAGGATGAGGAAACTGCGCGCGGAATGTGGAGCGGTGGGGGCGGAGGCGGGGGGGTTGTGAAAGTGGCGGGGGAACGCGCGCGGATGTGGTCACTGCCTGGACCTCGAGATAAGGGGCCCCGGAGTCGCGGTCCAATCAGATCCTGCAGATGGTGACTCGCTGAGCCGTGCAGAGACCATGCGGCACAATGCGGGCCCTTACAAAGGCAAAGGCGCAAAGCCTGAAATTGTTGGCGGATGGGCTTCCACTGGAGAGCCCCTCTCTGCAGAGGCTACTTTGCCTCCTATTCCACACTGGCCAAACGTGTTGGCAGCAGCGGCAGTAGCCACTGCTTTACCCCTTCATGGATGGACACGGACCGCCAGAAGCGTCTTGTTGAGACATCTCCCTTTGTTCGTGTCGGGTCTACAATAAAAGTCAAATTTGTTTTTTTTTTAAGTTCAGATTTGGAATTTCCCTGGGCGCCACGGTGGCGAGATGTTAACCAACTCGCCTGATCTACAGGACTTTGTTGGTTCAATCCTGACACGCGGATGCCTGTATATGTAGAGCCTGTATATGTAGAGATTGTATATGTAGAGCCTGTATATATAGCGACTGTATATGTAGAGATTGTATATGTAGAGCCTGTATATGTAGAGACTGTATATGTATTGCATGTCTCTCTCCCCGTGGATTTTACTCCGGGTCCTCCGGGTTTTCCCTACACATTTAGAAACATTTGTTTAGAGTATTTGGCTAATATTAATTTCCAGGTCGCTTCTGAAAAAGAGCTGTATAGCGCAGTTGGCCTGACCTGGTAACATTTTAATTGTTTAGTTTTAGCTTAGTAGCGCCCCTAGTAGCTAGTGAGGGTCACGCGAATCCGTCGGGAAACTGAACACATCCCAGTGTCAGCAACTGTGGCCTTAAAATTAATTTACTACAGAATAGACGATTCGAGCGATGGCCCTTCTGCATAGCACATACATAGGTTATGGCCATTATGCGTAGTGAAGGGGCATTGCCCGAAACGTCTCCTATTATATATTTAATTTAAAAACTGGAGTGTTATTGAGGAATGTGGTATGTTGTTGTTTGAGCACCACTGTCTACACAGCGGCGACACCGGCGGCAGCAGCAGCAGCATCGCTATACAATGTGTTTAACGGAGCAATCACACGCGATGCATCGTTTACACTCCCACGCACTGACCTGACATCTCCCAACAAAGCCTGCAGACAAAGGTGTCGTCGGTACCCTGAAGCCAAAGCAGGCTTCAGCCTGGAACGTGCGCTCTGCGCCAGGGCTTGCCAGGTGTTGCAGGCGCGAGGCTGCGCAGTGGTGGTCAGGAGACGGATGCGCCGAGTGTCTCCCCCCTCGCATACAGCAGCACGGTGCTGGGTTTTTCCCGGGGTCTCTGTTCCCTTACGAGGGCTCACCAGGGTCTCTGAGACCAGGGCATCCTTTCTCACGGTTGCTGGTGGACTTGAGTAGGGACGTGTGTGTCACCCACAGCTACAGCGAGACAACTATAGTGGATGTGGTGTGCCGGGTGAGGATGATAGTTCTCTGGGTCGCCGAGTCAGACAGACCCGAGCAGGACCCTCCTGAAATTCATCTTGAGACTCGTTGAGGCTTTGCTCGGTGAATATTTGGCATCCATCGTGGTCTCTCTGTGATTCATACTCCATTCAGAATACAGTACGTGCATCTCGCATCGCCGGTGCGGCGTGTAATTGCATTTAATTGCTGGTTTCCACGATTTACATTCCATTGAAAGGTATAAACATTCTGCAGCCCGATTATGGGGGCCATCCTTGGGATTACGATTTCAAGGCCACCAAATGTCTGTCTGGCCGGGACAGTCCCGGTGGGTTGAGGAAGGTTGCGTACCCGTCATCCCCTCCAAAAAATGTTTTGTGAAAATCTGCATGGTGTAACAAGTTTAACGTTTTCTATCCTCGGTCTCTACTAATATGAGCAGGTTACCTGAGTAGTGGGTGGGGCATCCTGAGCAATGGGCGAAGCTGCTTTCATAGTAGGCGGAGCTACTTATGTAGTAGGCGGGGCTACTTCATAGTGGGCGGAACTAACTTAGTAATGGGCGGAGCCAACTTGGTAATGAGCGGAGCTACCTTATTAGTGGGCAAAGGTACTTGTGCAGTTGGCGGAGCTACCTTGGTAACGGACGGAGGTACTTGAGTAGTGGGCAGGGCCAGTTTCAGACAGAACAAATCCGCTTGCTGTGTGGGCGGTGCTAGTGGTTGAGTGGGTGTGGCTACACAAAAGTGGGTGGTGCTGGGAGAGGGATGGGCAGCGAGCTCACCACCACGTGTCCCGGTTGAGCCTCCTAGAAATTTGGCAGCCTTAAATTAGAGGTATTCAAATCGTGACACATTACATTCTATGTTACTTTCGCCTGACGCGTCTTGCAGGCACCGCGACGCGCTCCCTGCCGTCACATGTGCGTGTCTTCCGTGACCTGCAACACACAATGGTGCCGCGCGGCACTGTCAGCAGCGAGCGCATGACGAGGTATCGAACATGAACCGCGGCGGGGCCGGTGAGTCGCCCGCGGCGGTGGCGCCTTCGCCGCTAAAGTTCGTGGTTTGAGAACCCGCAGCCGCCCCGGCTAACGCTGCGGGTGTGCCGACTGCTCTTGCAGTTGACGTTAAAGATCCCGTGACGTCACGTGAAGAACGGCAAGGTCACGTGTGCTGGGTGAACGCACAGCGACATCGGCCCCCGACCGCAAATCGACCGCTTCCTATAGCCGTCTGTGGGACGTGGAGCCCGCGTGATCAGCTCGTGCGAGTAGAATGGCGTGAACCGACCACGCTGGCCATTTTTTGACTTGACTCTCGCAGGGCTCCCGATACGCCACACGTCGATTGGGGACGGCAGAAACGTAGGTGGGAGGCGAGAGGGGGAGGAGCTTGCGGAGCCTCACGCTGGCACGGCACAATGTGCCATGCCGTGCCAGGGGGCCCTTTCTGAAACAATCACGTTGGCGTTTGGGGCGGCTCGTAATCGTGGAAACACTGCCGCTGAACGTGGCGGCCGTGAGACCGAACTCGCAGAAGGGACTCACAGAGGCACGAGGAGAGGCGCGTGGAGAGAGCGGGACAGGAGGGGTGGCGTGCGCCGCGTTCCACAGCGCCGCGTCACGCGTCGTCGGGAAGAATCCGCTCCGCGCCACGGCACCCGCGAAGAAGCCGGCCCTCTCGAGGCGCGACAGCACCGCGTCTGCGGACACCACGACGCAGACAAAGGTCCATCCGTGTAGCCCACACAGACTGCTGGGACAAGTGCTGACGGTGAGCATGGCGCGTGAGGGAGCGGTGCGCTCGGGCAGAAGAAAGAGATAGAGGAGAGGAGGAGAGAAGAAGATGAGAATATGAGAAGATGAGATTAGAAGAGATGACATGAGGAGGAGACGAGAAGATGGAAAGAGAAGAGGAGAGAAGAGGAGAAGATGGGAAGGGGAGCTTCCCTCACCGTCACAGCCAGCGAAGAGGAAGCTTACGCCCACCTTCTGATAATCTCCGGTCATCTGAGGAGACACGTTTTTGTTGTTGTTTAAAGAACACATTATTATTGTTATATTGTATTATTCTGCTCGTTTATCCAGGAAAATTTCACCGAGTCTCAAGATTATTTTCAGGAGAGTACTGCCGAGTTGTTCGCAGTAGGAGGGGGGGGCGGGGTGTTGCTGTGTGTGATCCCAAACGAGTGATTCGCAGCGCCATCTTTCAGCGTTGTGATGTGGTTTGAGAAATGAACGTATTGGGCGGTACACACCGATGTGGTGCGTGGTATTACAAAAAAGAAAACAAATTATCCGCAGTAATTATTTTATTTCCCACGATTCGCAACCGCCAGTCAGAAAACCTTGCGGGGTGGTGGTGGTGCGAGTCAAACTCGTTTCTCGTGATATCGGAGCAGTTGCTGGACGAATATTTATACGAGCGGCTGAACACGAAGCTTCACAGTCTGTTGCCGTATAGCAGCAACCCAGGATGATGACAATTGGCTGGCTCCGTGTCCCAAAGGAAACATTTTACTCCTCGTGCCCTAGACTTGGTCGGATGGTCCCTCGATTCAGGTTTATTCAGTCTCAGTGGACTCAATTTACCTTTGAATCGCGTCAAACTTGGCGACAGGGTCAATTAAAGGCTGATAAACAGATACAATTTGCTGATTCAGGTTAGATATTAGATTGTTTTATGAGGACCGGTGTGTTATGCTGCACCGGTTTACCGCTAATATATCCCGACACAAATGACATTGTATGTGGGGTGTTTTAGCTATTGGAGGAAATCTGTGAAAGCCCATGCAAAACAGGGGAGAGAATATACAAACCTCCACACACCCAGAGTGGAACCTCCGTCCTCCCGCCAGTGTGGAGAACAACCCAAGAGCACCCTCCAGAGGGGCTCTCTCGAGCTCCCTGCTGTGGATGTCCTTCTGCCAGCAGTGGTGTGAGCGAGGAATTGCAAGGCTACACCTTTACATTACACCCTCTTGCCATGACCCAGCCTGAGGTGGCACCGTGACCCAGCGTGAGGTGGCACCGTGACCCAGCGTGAAGTGGCACCGTGACCCAGCGTGAGGTGGCACCATCACCCAGCGTGAGGTGGCACCGTGAGTACCGTGGTGAGGGTGTTGACCGCCACGGTGTCCAGGTACGTGACGGAGGAGAAGTCCAGAATGACGGTGTCGACCGTCACCCTCGGCACGCCCTCCAGCTTCACCGCGAGCCCGGCCTGGAGCCAGGGCCCCGTGCCGCCGCCGCCGCCCTCCCCATCGGGCCCCGGGGTTCCCTGGGCCCCCCGCGTCTCCGTGACCTCCCGCTTCGTCGGTGGGGCCCGTTTGGTTTTCACGGCGGCGACGACCTCGTGGGTGCCGCACCCCTCCCTGGTGACCTTCACCTCCTCGACGCCGGCACCCACGGCCGCGTCGTCGCCGTCGCTGTCGTCGGACGTCTCCGATTGGTCGCTGGCGCTGAAGGCCTCGTTCTGAGCGCCGGTGTTGATTGGCTGCGAGGCCCAAAGAGTGGCCACGGACGAAGACGAGATGAATACTGGACGTGGTGTGCCGGGTACGTAAATATTGTCTGAGTCGCCATTGCAGATGCAACCTCGTTGAAATTAAGCCCGATATGGTGACGTGAGTGTGAGGATCAGCGTGAGGGTGAGCGGGGATGAGTTTGAGGGTGAGTGAGGTGAGTGATGGGGAGGGTTAGGGTCAGTGAGGTTGAGCGCGAGTGTGAGTGACAGTGAGGGTGAGCGGTGGTGAGGGTGAGTGTGAGCAGTGGTGAGTGTGTGAGTGAGCGATGGTGAGTGTGAGCAGTGGTGAGTGTGTAGGTGAGTGGTGGTGAGTGTGTGGGTGAGCGGTGGTGAGTGTGAATGTAAGCGGTGGTGAGTGTGTGGGTGAGCGGTGGTGAGTGTGTGGGTGAGCGGTGGTGTGGGTGAGTGTGAGCGGTGGTGAGTGTGTGAGTGAGCGATGGTGAGTGGTAGCGGTGGTGAGGGTGAGTGTGAGCGGTGGTGAGTGTGTGAGTGAGTGGTGGTGAGTGTGTGGGTGAGCGGTGGTGAGTGTAAGCAGTGGTGAGTGTGTAGGTGAGTGGTGGTAAGTGTGTGGGTGAGCAGTGGTGAGTGTGTGGGTGAGCGATGGTGAGTGTGTGGGTGAGCGGTGGTGAGTGTGAGAGTGAGTGGTGGTGAGTGTGAGGGTGAGCGGTGGTAAGTGTGAGAGTGAGTGGTGGTGAGTGTGAGAGTGAGTGGTGGTGAGCGGTGGTGAGTGTGAGTGTGAGCGGTAGTGAGTGTGTGGGTGAGCGGTGGTGAGTGTGAGCGGTGGTGAGTGTGAGTGTGAGCGGTAGTGAGTGTGAGCGATGGTGAGTGTGAGGGTGAGCGGTGGTGAGTGTGAGTGTGAGCGGCGGTGAGTGTGAGTGTGAGCGGTAGTGAGTGTGTGGGTGAGCGGTGGTTAGTGTGAGGCTGAGCGGTGGTGAGTGTGAGTGGTGGTGAGTGTTATGGTGAGGGGTGGTGAGTGTGTGGGTGAGCGGTGGTGAGTGTGAGCGGTGGTGAGTGTGTGGGTGAGCGGTGGTGAGTGTGAGTGGTGGTGAGTGTGAGTGGTGGTGAGTATGTGGGTGAGCGGTGGTGAGTGTGAGCGGTGGTGAGTGTGAGCGGTAGTGAGTGTGTGGGTGAGCGGTGGTGAGTGTGAGGGTGAGCCGTGGTGAGTGTGAGCGGTGGTGAGTGTGAGTGGTGGTGAGTGTTATGGTGAGCGGTGGTGAGTGTGTCGGTGAGCGGTGGTGAGTGTGAGGGTGAGTGGTGGTGAGTGTGAGCGGTGGTGAGTGTGTGAGTGAGCGGTGGAGAGTGTGTGGGTGAGCGGTGGTGAGTGTGTGGGTGAGCGGTGGTGAGTGTGTGGGTGAGCGGTGGTGAGTGTGAGAGTGAGTGGTGGTGAGTGTGAGGGTGAGCGGTGGTAAGTGTGAGAGTGAGTGGTGGTGAGTGTGAGAGTGAGTGGTGGTGAGCGGTGGTGAGTGTGAGTGTGAGCGGTAGTGAGTGTGTGGGTGAGCGGTGGTGAGTGTGAGCGGTGGTGAGTGTGAGTGTGAGCGGTAGTGAGTGTGAGCGATGGTGAGTGTGAGGGTGAGCGGTGGTGAGTGTGAGTGTGAGCGGCGGTGAGTGTGAGTGTGAGCGGTAGTGAGTGTGTGGGTGAGCGGTGGTTAGTGTGAGGCTGAGCGGTGGTGAGTGTGAGTGGTGGTGAGTGTTATGGTGAGGGGTGGTGAGTGTGTGGGTGAGCGGTGGTGAGTGTGAGCGGTGGTGAGTGTGTGGGTGAGCGGTGGTGAGTGTGAGTGGTGGTGAGTGTGAGTGGTGGTGAGTATGTGGGTGAGCGGTGGTGAGTGTGAGCGGTGGTGAGTGTGAGCGGTAGTGAGTGTGTGGGTGAGCGGTGGTGAGTGTGAGGGTGAGCCGTGGTGAGTGTGAGCGGTGGTGAGTGTGAGTGGTGGTGAGTGTTATGGTGAGCGGTGGTGAGTGTGTCGGTGAGCGGTGGTGAGTGTGAGGGTGAGTGGTGGTGAGTGTGAGCGGTGGTGAGTGTGTGAGTGAGCGGTGGAGAGTGTGTGGGTGAGCGGTGGTGAGTGTGTGGGTGAGCGGTGGTGAGTGTGAGCAGTGATGAGTGTGTAGGTGAGTGGTGGTGAGTGTGTGGGTGAGCGGTGGAGAGTGTGAGTGTGAGCGGTGGTGAGTGTGTGTGTGAGCGGTGGTGAGGGTGAGTGTGAGGGTGAGCGGTGGTGAGTGTGAGGGTGAGTGTGTGTGTGTAAGTGGTGGTGAGTGTGAGTGGTGGTGAGTGTGGTGGTGAGTGTGTGGGTGAGCGGTGGTGAGTGTGAGGGTGAGCGGTGGTGAGTGTGAGGGTGAGCGGTGGTGAAGCTGAGTGTGAGTGTGAGCGGTGGTGTATGTGAGCAGTGGTGAGGATGACGAGCAACTCTGTCGTGCACAGTGCTGTGGGGGGAGGTCCAAATTCGATTGGCTCCTCCCCTCATTGCATCTGTGTCCACCACAGGGGCTAAACGGGGGCTTTGGACGGGTGCGAGGGGCTAGTAACCCCTCCACCTTCAATTAATTACCACTAAACCGCGAATTAAGTATATAACTAATAAGCTTGTGTCGGAGGCCCCGGGGGGCCAGGCGTCTATGACGTCTCCTGGCCAAACCCCAATTGGCGGAGCAAGGAGATTGAATATCTACCCTCGGGGCTCCTCAAGAAACAACGAAAAACCACTACGGGTGGCCACGTGGAATGTTCGAACACTCACTGCGGAGGAGAGGCTGCCACTCCTCTGTCAGGAGCTGGACCGGTACTACCTGGATCTATGTGGCATTCAGGAGGTCCGGTGGACCGGTTCTGGCTCCTGCCACCATGAGAGGTAGACAGTCCTCTACTCGGGGCAGCAGACTGCCAAACAACAGGGTGTGGCTCTTCTTTTGAACAAAAGAATGAAGGGGGCGTGGGAGCGTGGCGGAGAGGTGTGGGAAGCTGTAAGCCCCAGGCTACTTTGGGCTTGCCTTCCCATCAACCGGAGGCAATGAATGGTGGTCGTGGTTACTTATGCCTCCACCTAAGATGAACATCCGTGGAGGGATGCAGGCAAAGCCGATGAGTCAGATGCCTTCTATGACCTCCTGTCACAGGTGCTGGCTAAAGTGGCCCCTCGGGATAGAGTCATCATGTTGGGTGACATGATGACCGAGTTGGTCATGATGCTAGCACCTGGTCTGGAGTGATTGGAGGGCATGGGCCAGATCAGCTCAATAACAACGGTAGGAGGCTGGTAGATTTTTGTGCAGCCCATGGGCCTGTAATTACCAACATGCTGTTCCGGCATCGGCGCATCCACACAACATCATGGATGCATGCCGGGTCCAAGCAAGAACATCTGCTGGACTACATAGTGACGGACCAGCGGATGCGAGCCCATGTCCTTGACACCAGGACCTACCGTGGAGCTGATCTGCCATCTAACCATCGACTAGTCATCTGTAAGATGCGCCTGCCATTCTTCCACTCCGGTGGTGGGTGTACACCCAGGACTCCATTACAACCTAAAGTGGCCTGGTCTCAGTTATCTGATGAAAGTTGCAAGCAAGAATTTCATCATCGCTTGCGGCTGGGATTGGCATCGTCCCCGACTCCTCCTGATGTCGAGGGTAAATGGGCGAGGTTTAGGACTGTGACTCATGCAGCTGCAATGGCTGCTTGGGGTACGCGGTCCAGACCTCCCCAGAGACCCTGGCTGACAGAGGAGGTGTTCAGGATGGTTGAGAAAAAGCGACTGGCCCACTGTCATCGGCTACAGAATCCCACGTCAGAGAATGAGGAGGCTTACCGCAGCCTTCGCTCGGAGGTTCGGAGAGCCGTGAGGCGCTGCAAGGATGGGTGGTGGTCGCGGGTTACTGAGGAGATGGAGTCTGCCTCAGTGGCCCATGATCACAAATCTCGATTTAACTCCATCAAAAAAGTAACCGGCAGTGCCACACCTATTACCATCATTAGGGGAAAAAACGGTGATCCAATCTCCGACCCCCAGGAACAGGTTTGCAGATTTGCTGAGCATTTCTGTGAGGTCTTGGGGGAGGGAAATCCCTCGTGGACACAAAGTGAGGATGACCCTGCTGAGGCTGCGGTGCCTCAAATATTGGAAGAAGTCACCCCCTGTGAGTGGCTGGCTGAGGTGCCATCTGTTGAGGAAGTACTGAAGGCGATCCGGAGTCTGAGACCAGGAAAGGCAGCGGGCAGAGATGATCTCCCAAGCGAAATGCTGAAGGAGGGTGGCGTTTGTGCACAGACTGCCGTATATGACATCATAACAACAGTCTGGACCACTGGACGGGTTCCGCAGGATTGAAAGGATGCCCTGGTGGTCCCCCTTCTCCTGGGGGTCGGAGACTGTAACAACTACAGGGGCATCTCACTCCTCAGTGTGCCGGGAAAGGTCCTGGCAAGGATTATTCAACATCGCCTTGCCAGGCACGCTGAGGAGAGGCTTGCGGAGCCCCAATGCGGTTTCAGGAAAGGGCGGTCCTGCACAGATGCCATATTTTCTGTCCGTCTGCTACAGCAGAGGTGTAGGGAATTCCAACAAGACCTACATCTCTGCTTTATTGACCTGGTCAAGGCCTATGATACCATCAGTAGGTATGGGCTCTGGGTTGTTCTTCATGCTTTTGGAGTACCTGACCCTCTGCTCACGATCATTAAGGACCTTCATGATGGTTAGCGGGCCCGGGTAAAACTACGTGGCCGGGAGCCAGAGCCATTCCCTGTACACCTTGGGGTACGACAGGGATGTCCTCTGGCTCCCACATTATTTAACATCTATTTCGACCACGTAGTTCGTGAAGCCTTCAATAGCTGTACCGGGGGAATCTCCATATAGTACAGATATAATGGGAGGCTGATCGATGCCCGGGTGCGGTCAAGTGATGGCTCCCTATTGCTCAACCACGTTATGTATGCTGATGATTTGGTAATAGCTGCTCATTCAGAGGAGGAGTTGGAGACGCTGCTGCTGAGACTGGAGCGTGCCACTAAGAGGTGGGGCCTTACCATCAGCCCCACCAAAACTAAGCACCTGCCTGGGTATTTTATACCATCGGACACTCCACCCCCACAACTCCCAATCGGTGATGGGGCAGTTGTGGAGAGAGTGGAGAGTTTCCCATACCTGGGCAGTGTGCTTATGACTGGCTCCAGTTTAACAGCAGAGGTTTCACTCCGAATCAATATCTTTTCATCGGTTGCGTAACGCTGTGTGGAAGCTACCTGGTCTGTCGCTCCCGTACTAAGCTTCAGGTCTTCTCGGCCACGGTCATTCCCTCCCTTCTCTACGCTTGCGAAACGTGGACCCCCCTAATGGAACATCTTCGCCGGTTATAAACATTTAGGCTGGCCTGCCTGCGATCCATCCTGGGTTTAACCAGACTGGATTGTGTGAGGAGCTCACAAATCCTTGAAAGATCTGGGCAAGGTCCCATTGGTGAGCTCCTCCGGCGGGCAAGGTTGCGATGGCTGGGTCATGTAGCCCGCATGCCCAGCCACCGCATGCCGAAACAGCTTTTGTTTGGCCGGATTGAGGGGGCTAAACGGGCGCGGCACGGGCTAGAGAAGAGATGGAGGGATGTGGTACAGGAGGACGTGGAGCTGAGTCGACTTGCCGATGACTGCTACCAGCGGTGTCAAGATCGGCCTCTGTGGAGGAGGTTCGTGAAGGACGCTACTGGGCAGTTGGAGGCAGTCGCCCTCCAACAACAACGGAGGGTGGAGGAGCGACGCTCACAACAACGAGCGGAGCGCCGGGTGGCTGAAGCACAGCAGGTTGGCACAGTAGGGGGCACAGGTGGTGCATCAGCCAGTCATCTCAGTCAGTCGACCCGTGGCACCTGGGTCTGCCCCGTGACCTCCTGCCAGCGGGCGTTCGACACTTCACGTGGCCTCAGGGTGCACATAGCCTGGCATAAGCGTCATGGTGACGTCACCGCCACTTAGTGGCGAATGGCGGTTGTTGTTGTTGTTGTGTGTGAGCGGTGGTGAGTGTGAGTGGTGGTGGTGAGTGTGAGGGTGAGTGTGAGTGTGCTCACGCGGCTGGTGCTGCTCTCACCAGGGCGGCCTCTCGGCTCAGCCGCTTCTTCAGCTTCTTCAGGGCTTTGTCCCTCTTCCTCGCGACCCTCGCTGGGTCGAACTCCAGCTGCACGCACACAGGGACACGGAGACACGGGGACATGGAGACACGGAGACACGGGGACATGGAGACACGGAGACACGGGGACATAGAGACATGGGGACATGGGGACATGGAGACACGGAGACACGGAGACACGGGGACATGGAGACACGGAGACACGGGGACATGGAGCACGGAGACACGGGGACATAGAGACATGGGGACACGGAGACATGGAGATACGGAGACACGGGGACATGGAGACCCGGAGACATGGGGACACGGGGACACGGAGGCACGGGGACACGGAGGCACAGGGAAATGAGGACACGGAGACATGGAGACACAGAGACACGGGAGACACGGGGACATGGAGACACGGGGAAATGGGGACACGGGGACATGGGGACACGGAGACACGGAGGCACGGAGACACGGGGACACGAAGACACGGAGACACGGAGTCACGGGGATCGTGGGAGGGGGGGAGGGGGGTTACTCACGATCGCCATGAGCTTCTCTCTGAAGTATTCGATGTTCCCGAAGTAGAGCGGCGCTGGGCAGCGGACAACCTTCACTCCGGGGGTTTCCGTCGCCTGCGATCACAAAACACAAACGACGGTATCACTTATGGGGGTGGGGGGGGTCAATTTTCAGGCAGGAGAAATGATTACATATTCTTTGGGTCTTTGATCACAGTTTGACTATTCCGGTATTATTATCATTGCTGTCTATCCAGCACGGCACGCGAATCATCTGGTGTCCGTCAGCAGCTTCGTGGGGTCGATGTGTGGCCACTCCCACTCTGAATCCCTCCCTGCCCCCTGTGAAAACAGATGCCGCTGCTGCTCGCGCCTTCATTATATCTTCTCTCATCCCATCATTGCCCGACATCTTGGCCCCGTCATTCCTTCTCCTCCTTCTCCTCCTTCCCGCCGCTCATCTTAAGCCGTGCCCTCCTCCTCTTTGTCCGTCTCGGGGGCTTCCTTCCCGGCATCGCTTCCCTTTCCCCCATGCCTTTCTCTTTTCCCACAGATTGAAATCCCCATGCCGTGTCTTACGCTACACGGGTAAAATATTTTATTTTAACACGTAGCAAAAACAACAACAAAGACGTGTGTGTACATTTGTAACCGTACCCATCGACTTTCCAAACGACTTATTGAATTGGAACGGCCCTTGCTCCAATCAAGAAGTGAACCGGAAACAACCCCCTTCCCCCCCTACCCCCTCATTGAATGTTAAGGGAGATCAACACTGATCGGGCATTGCTTGGGAGGGAAACGGGAGGGAGACGGTGAGGTCACCTGCTTGAAGACACCGACGCGTTTGTAGATCTCCGTGTTGGGAATGTTGCCCAGCGGGACGCATGCTGGGCTGTAACACAAAGACAAAAGAACCCCAGTGTCACCTTAACAGACTTTTGGGGCAAGTGCTGTTAGCGAGTAACACCTCTGAAGGTCGTCAACGGCACGAGAGCGGGTGAATGGACAGCACCGCGCCCGGCCGCCTTTGTCTCCCGCATCGAACCAGGTGCTCATTTGAGTCTGAGTCGACCTAGGGGAGGCCCAGGACCGGTTCAGATAATTGGCACCGGCGGTGATCGTGAGCGAGATTTGAACTGGAGTCGTCGGGATTCATAGCGCAGCTCGCTAAGCGCTACGCGAGCACGTGCCGCGTTCCCACGTGCGTGAGAAGTCGGACCCGAACCATGCCGGGCCGATTCGAGAACTGACGCGGCGCTTTACGAGCCACACGGCTCCCTGGAGCGATGCTCACCGGCGCTCAGTCATCTCCTTATCACTCGTCTATCGCTACTACGGTTTTACCCGTGCCGTAAACTTCGCTCATCGATTCCTCCACCCCTGTCGAAACAGTCGAGGTCTACCAGACGCCGGCTCTTTCGTCTCGTCACACCACTGTTCCACCACACTTGCAGGTCAAGACAACTCACCCACCCACGCCTCTACACTCCACACCGCCATCACAACACCCATCTCTCTCTCTCGGCTTCTTCTCTCGCCCTGTTTATTTGTGGAAGTCCCTCCCCCTCATCGCTTTTCTCCAAGCAGCTTTTACAACAATAACCTCGCTCGATTTCTAGGCACGCGTTTCACTCCGTGGCTATTACAAAGTTTGACAGTGCTGCTATTTGTTCCTGGCCGCTTGATATTATTGGACCTTTGGGCCAACTGTGCTCGGCAACCGTGAAGAGTAGGCCAAGTTACCCTGCAGTAGAGGGTCTCTCTCTCTCTTTCTCTCGAGCGTCCTCTGATGGAGGCCCATCCACCAGCAGTGGCGTTAACGGGCTATTGCAGGGCTGCGCCTTAACCTCCTCTTGTGTGGGCCGAGTCTTCCCCACGACAGCGGTGACCACGCGAGGGTGGGGGCACCCTCTGGCGAGCCGTCAGCATCTCCCTTCTCCCCACCCCTCCAATCATTACCGGCTGCCCCATCCACAACGCGTGGTCTTCATCAGGATCCTCATCATCATCGTCTTCTGATGAGATCGATCTACTGAAGGCCTTCCCTCAAGCCACCGGGTTTCATCGCTCCATCTCCACAGCGGCGGAGGGGGCCGTCCGTCGTGCCACCGCCCCTTCCACGGCCCGAGGCCACGCGACGCACCACCACCACCCGCCCCCTCCCTCCCCTGCCGCACGCGTCGCCCCGTTAATAACCCCGGGCGCTGCTATTAAGACTTCGAGCCGTAAGTGAAATCCAATTCGCTGCGCCGTTTCGTCACCGCACCTGCTTTGCACGCGATTGACGCGAGCTCGCAGGTGTCACGAGTTACAGTCGAGGGAGAGAATTCAATGGGCGTGCAACGCGTCAGAGTCAAGAAACTATTGACTTTCGGCAGCCTACTGGGAGAGATAGAGAGAGATGTCCGCGCCCATTAGAGGCTCGCCAGATCGAAAGCAGCTTTACTGAAAGCGGTCGGTGATTTTTCGCACCCCTCAATCCACCGTAGCCAGGTCATCATCATGAACAACAACGAGAGGAGCTACGCTCGATCGCACCCCTACCGCCACCACCGCCCTCGCGACTGGATGAATGCCTTCCCATCTCTCGCGGTCTCGCGATGTCCACGGTCCATCTCGTCGTCTCCTGTACTCGAGATCGAAAGAAATGCTGCTGCATCCGTCAAGCGCTGCTTTTTAATCGCCACTTTTTTTTTGGGTGGGGTGGGGGGGCGAGGCCCCTGCTGATGAATTTGTCCGTAGTTTTGTTTCCATGCCTTCCTCTGTTCTTTTCTGGGGGTAAGTTCCTAACAAGGAACGCAACTTTCACCTGGCGATGAGTCACATTGATGTTGCGATGCTGCTGCTACTGATGCTGCTGTTGCAGCGGCAGCGGTGCAAGAGCACAAACAGCAAAAACTTCCAACGCGTTCGTCAATGACGCTGCGGCCACACAATACAATGGACAATAGACGACGTTTCAGGTAACGGGCCCTACGTGAGGGCCGAGTAAAGTTGACAATGGATCGTCTTGACCAGAATCGTTGTGCATGTCATCCTTTAGGCGTTATTTTTTTCTCTCTTACAGCGTTGGGCGCCACTTTAATCAACGAGCCCACTACTCTCCGGGGAAAGGGTGGAAGTGTGGTACGGCACGGGATTTGTTCGGTTGTTAAGTACGGCACGGTATTTTTTTTCCCCCATACACTTTTCGTAGCAACTCAGGTGATGAATTCATGAGAAGCCAAGCTTCTTGATTTCTGATAATCATTCTCTTCTCTTTATCTTTTCAACGTGCGTTGGAACTTCTTCGCACCGTACATAGCAAACCGTGCTCATTGGAGGTGCAGTGCGGGGGGAAGGACGACAAATTAAAGGTAAAATGCAGTTTTCAGTTTGTTGTCGGCTATAATAATGCAACACATCAGTTATCAGAAACTTAAACGGTAGGCAAAGACTCCGTTCGCAAAATGCCACTCACCGTTGATAATGGATGAGAATAAGACGCGGGGTTTTTAAAATCAATATTTCCTAATTATGCGATTTCGGATTTAAATGTTTTTCTTCAATTTAAAATAAATATTTACACACATTTGTGTTGTAAAGAGCGAGAACCTTTCTACAAGAGCAAACAATCAGGCCATTAGATATACTGTTATAAGCGTCGTATATCCCTTATTTCCTAAGCTTTGTTGTTTCTTAAGTACGATATAAGGTACGAAATTAGGGTACACGGTACGATATGAATATTGGAAAGGTACGGCACAAACATTTGTTTCCGAAGGTACGGTACGAATGTACGACTCGATATTGTTTTTCGAGTACGAAAAATGTCCTATCGTACCGCCACCCTCGCCCCAGGGTGAGTGCCGGAAATGGACTTGCTCCTCCGTACATTCATGACCTCCTTCAGTCAAATATTCCATTAAGATCGTTAAGGTCGTCAGATTGTGCATTGCTCACTTTCCCACGTTCTCGGCTTAGCACTCGGGGTGACGGTGCCTTTGCATTTGCGACACCTAAACTCTGGAACTCCTTGCCCCTTCGAGGTCAGGTCTTCCGAGACACTTACACATCTTCAAAGCTTAACTAAAAACGTCTCTGCTTCACACGGCTTTCTCTATTCAGTTATTTTCAACTGCCGATCTCACTTCTTCTTGGCGTGGTTGTCGCTGACTGTTCTCCGCCTTTCCATGCAAAGCGACCTGAGAACGATTGTTTAAGGGCGATTTATAAATGTTAAATTATTATTCATTATTGCTAACGGCACCAGAACGACATCAAAACGAAGTTGCCACCCCATTGGATCGTATTTAAGACCCCCCGCGTCCACCCCACCCCTCGCGCCCACCCCACCCCCCGCGCCCACCCCACCCCCACCATGCCCCAGTGTGAGCTGGCACCATGGCCCAGTGTGAGCTGGCACCATGCCCCAGTGTGAGCTGGCACCATGGCCCAGTGTGAGCTGGCACCATGGCCCAGTTTAAGCTGGCACCATACCCCAGTGTGAGCTGGCACCATGCCCCAGTGTGAGCTGGCACCATGCCCCAGTGTGAGCTGGCACCATGCCCCAGTGTGAGCTGGCACCATGCCCCAGTGTGAGCTGGCACCATGGCCCAGTGTGAGCTGGCACCATGGCCCAGTGTGAACTGGAACCATGCCCCAGTGTGAGCTGGCACCATGCCCCAGTGTGAGCTGGTACCATGGCCCAGTGTGAGTTGGTATCATGGCCCAGTGTGAGCTGGCACCATGGCCCAGTGTGAGCTGGCACCATGGCCCAGTGTGAGCTGGTACCATGGCCCAGTGTGAGTTGGTATCATGGCCCAGTGTGAGCTGGTACCATGCCCCAGTGTGAGTTGGTACCATGCCCCAGTGTGAGCTGGCACCATGCCCCAGTGTGAGCTGGCACTATGGCCCAGTGTGAGCTGGTACCATGCCCCAGTGTGAGCTGGCACCATGCCCCAGTGTGAGCTGGCACCATGCCCCAGTGTGAGCTGGCACCATGGCCCAGTGTGAGCTGGCACCATGGCCCAGTGTGAGCTGGCACCATGGCCCAGTGTGAGCTGGCACCATGCCCCAGTGTGAGCTGGCACCATGACCCAGTGTGAGCTGGCACCATGGCCCAGTGTGAGCTGGCACCATGGCACCATGGCGCCGGTGTGTCGGGCACCACCAGAAGCCGGTCTCACAAGAGGGAGTGAGCGACGGTGGTGAGGATCTCGAAGACGAGCGCCACGGCCAGGCCCAGGTCGAGGCCGAGCAGGATGCTCATCACGCAGCTCACCACCCACAGCAGCTGCACTCGTCACCGGCGGGGCGGGCGGGGTGGAAGTTGGTGGGGGGGGGGCAAACGGGGCAGTGAAGAGAAGCACGTGTTGAGTGAGCGGGTGGATGCCTGAACTCAGCCTCAAATGAGTACTGTACCTGGTGCGGTGTGTAAACATCGCCACTGGGGAGACAAAGGTGGTCGGCCATGGTGCTGACCAACCACACCTCGTGTGCCGTGCCGGCCTTCGTAGGTGCTCGCTACCAGCACTTGCACCAACAGTCTGTTAAGGCTACGTGGGGTATCTTCAGGCCTCACAAGTTTTGAGAAATCTGAAACTTAACAAAACGAACATCTTGTGAATGTGATTAAAGATATTAAACTTACTTCTGATGATATTCTGGTAAGTTTTGATGTGATTTCTCTATTCACTAAGGTTCCAGTGGACGAATCGCTTAAATTACTTGATACACTAGTAAAGAATACCGGTTTACAAAAAAGATATTCCGAAACTTGCTGGCCATTGTTTAAATAACACTTACTTCTTATGGAGAGGGGATTTCTTTAAACAAAAGGAAGGAGCAGCAATGGGTTCTCCTTTATCCCCTGCTATAGCAAATTTGTACATGGAAAACTTTGAAATAAGAGCACTTGCCTCGAGCACATTAAAACCATCCTTTTGGTTTAGGTATGTGGATGACACTTTGGTTGTCTGGCCACATGGCAAAGATACACTTAATGATTTTCTAAATCATCTCAATGCACAAAACCCGGCCATCCAGTTCACCATGGAAATGGAGGTGAATAACACACTCCCATTCCTAGATATTTTGCTTGGACATGGCCTAAACGGTAAAATAACACACAGCGTTTACAGAAAGCAAACGCACACTGATGCCTATCTGAATGCAGAATCACATCATCATCCAGCTCAAAAATCCTCTCTTATCAAGACGCTCGTACATCGGGCGAAAACAGTGTCAGATGGTGAGAGTCTAGTGAGAGAGATTAAACACGTTAAAGACACACTACGACAGAATGGCTACAATAATGCTCAAATTAACAGAGCACTGAATGCCAAATCACGATCGCAAAGCAATACTACTGAAAGCGACCAGATTGTTAAAACAATAAAAAATTCCATATATCTCAGGAGTAACTGACAAATTAGCCCGTGTTCTGCAAAAGCAAAACATTACAGTAAGATTTGGTACAGTACACAAAATTCAAAAACTAGTATCTTGCACTAAAGATGCATTACCTGAACTATCAACAGAAGGTGTATATCGGATTAATTGTTCATGTGGCAGCTGCTACATTGGGCAGACGGGACGTAACATCAGCGTAAGACTAAAAGAACATCAGAGAAATATTAAATTATCTCAAACACAACTGTCGGCAGTGGCAGAACATGCTTGTCAACAAGGACACTCAATTGATTTTGACAATGTTGCAGTGGTGTGTAAAACGAATTATTACTGGCAAAGACTAATTAGAGAATCCATTGAAATTGAGAGGAACAAGAATAACTTTAATCGCTCTGACAGCTACCGGCTTAGTGCGGCCTGGAAGCGTATTATTAAATAATACACATTACACTTAAAGAATTACTAATCTACAACTCATTACTAATCATAACCAATGACTGATTACTAATCGATTATATAATTACAATACCCCACCCTCCGCCTCTAATCACTGCACCTGATGAGTTAAGTGATGACGTCACTCTGCTGCTCTATATAAAAACCGGGAGCAAGCGAGGGCTTTACCATTCTGGCGAATTGCCCGATGATGCTGGATGTATTTACCAGTGAAACGTCATACTCAAACTGTAAATGTGGATTAACTCTTCAACACACCGGTGGGCTGAAGTAGTGAATTATTTGTCTTTTGTCAACGTGACACTTTTTTTTGTTGATTGGCCGTGTCGGGTGGTGGAGGGTTACGACACATTTATAAATAAACGCGATCTAACCCAAAAACCTTTATTATGAATAATATTGGTCGCGAAAGCCTACGTGTTAAACTTAACAAAACGAGCTTAGTTTTGAGACGCCGCCCGGTTTGTTTTTGGAGGTCGTTGTATTTCAGCTGAGAAGCGTCTGCAGCAGGACGCGCTGCTTGGCCTGGAATATGCCCTCCAGCGACAGGTGCACCAGCGCAGTGTGGTTGTCGTCCAGCTCCCATTTGAGGATGGAAAAGTCTGACTCGACCGACGACGTGATGGCAAACACGGTCGCTAAGCCGCCGCAGAACGAGCGCAGGCGCTCAAATCGACTCGGGGCACAGGCCCAGGCGTCGTTGAAGGTCGTCTTGACGATGTGCTTGTCGATGGCGTTGCGCAGGATCGTGTCCGAGTTGTACAGCATTACCAGCTCGCGGTGCTCCGCCTCGATCTGATCGATGCTCTCCTCGGTCCAGACTTCAGAGACATGCTTTCGGTAGGGGTCGAGCGCCTCCTTCAGGAACGTGCCATGGCGCAGCTTGACCAGCTGCGCGGGCAGCACAGACGGCGCATCCTTCTCCAGGGCCTGATTGGCGCCGTCCCGTTCGGCCTTGATCGACTGCAGGCCCGTGACAAGCGTCATCGTGTAGATGGCGACGTGCTTGAGCACATCCTTCTGGTCAGCTGCTTCCAGGCGCTCGTAGCAATCCCTCAGGAACGAGCACTGGTTCTCAATGTGCTCCACGATCGCATCGACCGGGATGTGCAGTGACTCGTAGTGCACGTAGTCGTCGTCCTTGCTGTCGTCATCGTCGTTGCGCGGCTGTATGTTCTCGATGCTAAACATGCTGATGAGCGATCCGACCAGCGCCTGCACGAGCGCGTCCTGCTGGCCAATCAGCAGCGACTTGGCCTGCATCTCAACGAGCGTGACGTTGATCGAGTCGATGGCGGGCGACACCGAGTACGTGATCAGCCACCACTGGTCCGTCGGCAGCATGTCGGGGCGCTTGTCCTTAGTGTACTCCATGATCTGTCGATGGTACGACTTGTAGAGCGTCAGCAGGCGGCCGATATGCACCCATCGCGGCGTCTTCTTTGGGCACTTGACGTTCATCTTGATCATCAGGTTGTCCTGCGCGTGCAGGTAGACTGAGTACGTGTAGGCCTGCTTGACCCAGATGTCGTCGTCAATGCCCTCGGCCGCCGCCTTCACGACAATGTCCATCTGATGCGGCGCGCACCAGATGCGCAACACGTTGTTCTCCGCGCACGCGACGATGTGGGTGACGACGCCTGCATGACGGCCCGTCATTGTGTTCTCGCCGTCCGACGACATGCCGATCAGCTTGGCGCGCCACTTGACGTAGAGCGCGTCCATGAACTTGGCGATCAAGTTGAAGATGTTGACCGCGGAATGACGTTTGAACATCGGAATCGCGACGAGATGCAAGTTTACCAGCTCGCCGCGATAGCAGACTCGGACGCGCGGGTCGAAGAACGATTGGCCGCGATGTGTGCTCCCATCGCCAGCCAACGACATGGCCAAAACGCTCTCGTCATCGAGGATGACCGCGATCTCCTACAGCGGGACGGTGACCAGGATGCGCGTGTACTGCCCGACAATGGCGTCGTTGATGTCAGTGAGCTTCGCCGTCTTGGTCCGGTCCTTGACCTTCTGGATGACCGCCGCCATCTGTCGGGACGACAGGCCGATGCTGATGCCGAAGTAGTCCATGGCGAGGTCGAACCGCAGCACGTCATTGATCGTCACTGTGTAGACGGCCTTGTCTTCCTCCTGAACGAACAGCTTCATCGCATTAGCCTTCTCCTTCTGCTTCTTGGCAAGCTTCTTGCGGACCGCGTCGGCTGCGTTCTCCTCGCCCTGGTCGTCGTCAATGTCATCGAGCTGCTCGTCGTCGCGAAAGAACAGGTCGCCTACAATCGTCGTTTCGATAATGGCGGCACTGATGAAGAACTGCAGTGTGTCGGTAGCCAGGTCCATGTGGTGGTGCAGCGTGTTGGTGAGCTTGACGAGCCCGTCGAAGTAGTGCTTCTTCTCCTCAACCGACAGGTCCTTGTGCTTCGTCCACGAGGACGCGTGCTGCCCCTCGTGGTGGCTGCGATGCTTGAACGCAGCGAACGGCTTCCTGAAGTACTGGATGTCGCTGCGATGTTTGCGCTCGCGCCCCGCCATGCTGACCTCCACGACGTCGCGGCCCTCGTGCAGGCAGAACTTGCACCGGACGGTCACGTCGCCATTGGCCTCCGTCGAGACGATCTCCAGCGCGTATTCCAGGGCGTGCGACTTCTGCAACGGCGTCGACTTCTTGCCATTGCCCTTGCTCGCCATCCTCGTGCAACCTCGTTAGTTTTGAGACCGCCACTGACTTGATTTTGAGATATCCGGACTTATTTTTGAGAAGTCTCAAATTTTATGAGGCCTGGGTATCTTTGGCTTTGTGGATCAGTACAGTACCTGAGTGGATGAGTGCACAGATGAGCCAGTGCGTGGGTGGATGGGGCTAGGAGGTGAGTGGTTGCTGAGTGAGCACGCTGGTATGTGGGTTGTGCTGTGTAGCTCTCCAATGTGGCTCCATGAGTCTCATGACACTTTTTTCAGGAGGCTCCTGACAAATGTTAGTAGGAGGGGGCGATTATTGCCGCTGCTGTGATTCATTTGTGGTGTAACTTTTCAAATATATCAAAATGTGGACAGTGACGAGGGCACACAATGGCCCAACTCTTGCCGAATGGCGCCGCGAGGCCTTTAACGTCCAACTGTGAGCGCAGTGGCCGGTGTGTAGCACGACTATGGCTCACAACGCAGACACTGCAGGAGTGATCAGGGTGGCCGCCAGGGTGGAACCGCTAAAACCCTGCGACATGCAGCGAATAACGCGCCAGCGCACCACTGGGTCATGTGACCGCTCCACGTGTATGCGTGCGTGTGCTTGCGTGTGCACTCGCGCTTACGTACGCAGTCGATGCGGTCCGTCCGCCACAGGCGAGGCACCTCCTTCACCTGGGTGAACATCCCCTTCAGGTTCACCACCACGAGGGAGGCCAGCACCGCCTTGCACCGCCACGGAGCAGGGGAAAAAAACAAGTAGTCACGTTGCGTATGGCCCGGGGTTCCCACAGCCTCGCTCACACACTATCACCCACCCAGCCATCCAGCTACGTAGCCACCCAGCCACCTAGCTGCCCAGCCACGTAGCCACCCAGCCATCCAGCCACGTAGCCGCACAGCCACATAGCCACCCAGCCACCCATCCACAAACCCAGCCACCCACCTACCCACCCATCCAGCCACCCAACTACCCAGCCAACCATCCATCAGTTCACACGGTTAGACAGTCACGCGGTGGTCCGTCAGGACAGTGAGTTGGTGAGCGATTGAGCTGGTTGGCCAGTTGTCCCGTGAGTAGGTGAGTTGTGCAGGCCATGTCTTTAAACTAAACTTACCTTTTTAAATTTACCAAGCAAGGCCCACTGAACTATGCAGCTCTTTAAACTTTATTTAAAGCTTTCGTGACTGCAGGAGTTACTCTTTTGTTCTTTCGGTAAAGTCACGTAAAATAAAATAAATTAAATCAATAGAATACGACGTTTCGATTGCAACACAATCAGTCGTCATCAGGTAGAACTAAATTTGAGAGAGAGACAAAACACAGACACGGAGACACACAGACAGACGCACAAGCAGAGAGAGACAACACAGACACACAGAGAGAGACACACAACATAGACACTCTGTGTATCTATGATGACGGTTGCTTGTGTTGCAATCGAAACGTCGTACTCTATTATTTAATTTATTTTCTTTCTACGTGACTTTACCAAAAGAACCAAAGAGTATGCAGCTCTTTTTTTCCTCAGCGACCCGGCCACAAATGATAGCTGAAAGAAATGGCTTATCATCGTGTGGAAATGTATAGCAGACAAATATACTAAACGCGTGATGGTGATTCAAAATGTGCAGGGAAAAGCCGGAGGACATGGAGTAAAATCACGCGACCACAGGGAGAAAGAGCGACACGCAAACTCCAGATATACAGCAGGCATCAGGGTCGAGATCGAGCCCACGACCTCCTGTACACAAGGAGAGGTAGTTAACATCTTCTAGCCACCGTGATGCTGGTGCATACCGTCTGCAGTGGCTCCAGGAGGAAGCCCAGCGCCAGGATGACGATGAGCACGATGATGGACGAAAGCAGAGCAGCCACCTTCACCCAAATACACACAAAGACAAAGATGCCCCGTATAGACTTCAATTGACTTGGGGAAAGTGCTGTTAGCAAGCACCTATAAAGGCTGTCACGACCCTCGAGCGCATGGGTGGATTATACCACGCGATTTTGGGGAGGCCCAGTGCCATTTCAGATATTCGTCGATGAGTCTACCTCGAGGAGGCCCCGGATCGGTTCAGATAATGGGCACTGCTGTTGACCGTGAGCGGGAATCGAACTCGGGTGACCGGGTTCGTAGCGCAGCGTGCTCGCCGCTACACTCCCGCTCACCGCAGCACAATAGTCTCACACACAAACACGTGCATTGTGGGGTGTGTGTGTGGCTGTGCCATGAGTGTGGTGCGTTGGTACAGTGCGGTGCTGGTGTGGTGTGCTGTGGTGTTGGTGTGGTGTTGTGTAGGTGCAGTGTGGTTCTGTATTGGTGTGTTGCGATGTGGTGTGTTAGTGTGGTGTGGTGCTGTGTTAGTGTGGTGTGGTGCTGTGTTAGTGTGGTGTGGTGCTGTGTTAGCATGGTGTGGTGCTGTGTTAGTGTGGTGTGGTGCTGTGGTAGAATGGTGCGGTGCTGTGTTAGTGTGGTGTGGTGCTGTGGCAGTGTGGTGTGGTGTTGTGCTAGCGTGGTGCAGTGCTGTGTTAGTGTGGTGTTGTGTTAGTGTGGTGTGGTGCTGTGTTAGCATGGTGCAGTGCTGTGTTAGTGTGGTGTGGTGCTGTGTTAGTGTGGTGTGGTGCTGTGTTAGCGGGGTGTGGTGCTATGTTAGTGTGGTGTATGTTAGTGTGGTGTGGTGTTGTGTTAGCGTGGAGTGGTGCTGTGTTAGTGTGGTGTGGTGCTGTGTTAGCATGGTGTGGTGCTGTGTTAGTGTGGTGTGGTGCTGTGTTAGCATGGTGCAGTGCTGTGTTAGTGTGGTGTTGTGTTAGTGTGGTGTGGTGCTGTGTTAGCATGGTGCGGTGCTGTGTTAGTGTGGTGTGGTGCTGTGTTAGTGTGGTGTGGTGCTGTGTTAGCGGGGTGTGGTGCTATGTTAGTGTGGTGTGGTGCTGTGTTAGTGTGGTGTGGTGCTGTGTTAGCGTGGAGTGGTGCTGTGTTAGTGTGGTGTGGTGCTGTGTTAGTGTGGTGCAGTGCTGTGTTAGTGTGGTGTTGTGTTAGTGTGGTGTGGTGCTGTGTTAGCGTGGTGCGTTGCTGTGTTAGTGTGGTGTGGTGCTGTGTTAGCGTGGAGCGGTGCTGTGATAGTGTGGTGTGGTGCTGTGTTAGTGTGGCGTGGCGCTGTGTTAGTGTGGTGTGGTGCTGTGTTAGTGTGGTGTGGTGCTGTGTTAGTGTGGTGTGGTGCTGTGTTAGTGTGGTGCGGTGCTGTGTTAGTGTGGTGTGGTGCTGTGTTAGTGTTGTGTGGTGCTGTGTTAGTGTGGTGTGGTGCTGTCTTAGTGTGGTGTGGTGCAGTGTTAATGTGGTGTGGTGCTGTGTTAGTGTGGTGTGGTGCTGTGTTAGCGTGGTGCGGTGCTGTGTTAGTGTGGTGTGGTGCTGTGTTAGTCTGGTGCTGTGTTAGCATGGTGTGGTGCTGTGTTAGTGTGGTGCTGTGTTAGTGTGGTGTGGTGCTGTATTATTGTGGTGTGGTGCTGTGTTAGCGTGGTGCGGTGCTGTGTTAGTGTGGTGCTGTGTTAGCGTGGTGTGGTGCTGTGTTAGCGTGGTGTGGTGCTGTGTTAGTGTGGTGTGGCGCTGTTTTAGCGTGGTGCGGTGCTGTGTTAGTGTGGTGTGGTGCTGTGTTAGTGTGGTGTGGTGCTGTGTTAACATGGTGTGGTGCTGTATTAGTGTGGTGTGGTGCTGTGTTAGTGTGGTGTGGTGCTGTGTTAGTGTGGTGTGGTGCTGTGTTAGTGTGGTGTGGTGCTGTGTTAGCGTGGTGTGGTGCTGTGTTAGTGTGGTGTGGTGCTGTTTTCGCGTGGTGCGGTGCTGTGTTAGTGTGGTGTGGTGCTGTGTTAGTGTGGTGTGGTGCTGTGTTAGCATGGTGTGGTGCTGTATTAGTGTGGTGTGGTGCTGTGTTAGCGTGGTGCGGTGTTGTGTTAGTGTGGTGTAATGCTGTGTTAGTGTGGTGCGGTGCAGTGTTAGTGTGGTGTGGTGCTGTGTTAGTGTGGTGCGGGGCTGTGTTAGTGTGGTGTGTTGCTGTGTAAGTGTGGTGGGGTGCTGTGTTAGTGTGGTGTGGTGCTATTTTAGCGTGGTGCGGTGCTGTGTTAGTGTGGTGTGGTGCTGTGTTAGTGTGGTGTGGTGCTGTGTTAGCATGGGGTGGTGCTGTATTAGTGTGGTGTGGTGCTGTGTTAGTGTGGTGTGGTGCTGTGTTAGTGTGGTGTGGTGCTGTGTTAGTGTGGTGTGGTGCTGTGTTAGCGTGGTGTGGTGCTGTTTTAGTGTGGTGTGGTGCTGTTTTAGCGTGGTGCGGTGCTGTGTTAGTGTGGTGTGGTGCTGTGTTAGTGTGGTGTGGTTCTGTGTTAGCATGGTGGGGGTTCTGTATTAGTGTGGTGTGGTGCTGTGTTAATGTGGTGTGGTGCTGTGTTAGTGTGGTGTGGTGCTGTGTTAGCATGGTGTGGTGCTGTGTTAGTGTGGTGTGGTGCTGTGTTAGTGTGGTGTAGTGCTGTGTTAGTGTGGTGTGGATCTGCGTTAGCGTGGTGTGGTGCTGTGTTAGTGTGGTTTGGTGCTGTGTTAGTGTGGTGTGGTGCTGTGTTAGCGTGGTGCGGTGCTGTATTAGTGTGGAGTTGTGTTAGTGTAGTGCCATGCTGTGTTAGCATGGTGCATTGCTGTGTTAGTGTGGTGTGGTGCTGTGATAGCGTGGTGCGGTGCTGTGTTAGTGTGGTGTGGTGCTGTGTTAGTGTGGTGAGGTGCTGTGTTAGCCTGGTGCATTGCTGTGTTAGTGTGGTGTGGTGCTGTGTTAGTGTGGTGTTGTGCTGTGTTAGCGTGGTGTGGTGTTGTGTTAGCGTGGTGCGGTGATGTGTTAGTGTGGTGTTTTGGTAGTGTGGTGTGGTGCTGTGTTAGCGTGGTGTGATGCTGTGTTAGTGTGGTGTGGTGCTGTGTTAGCGTGGTGCGGTGCTGTGTTAGTGTGGTGTAGTGCTGTGTTAGCGTGGTGCGGTGTTGTGTTAGTGTGGTGTGGTGCTGTGTTAGCGTGGTGCGGTGCTGTGTTAGTGTGGTGTAGTGCTGTGTTAGCGTGGTGCGGTGCTGTGATAGTGTGGTGTGGTGCTGTGTTAGTGTGGTGTGGCGCTGTGTTAGTGTGGTGTGGTGCTGTGTTAGTGTGGTGCGGTGCTGTGTTAGTGTGGTGTGGTGCTGTGTTAGTGTGGTGCGGTGCTGTGTTAGTGTCGTGTGGTCCTGTGTTAGTGTGGTGTGGCGCTGTGTTAGTGTGGTGTGGTGCTGTGTTAGTGTGCTGTGGTGCTGTGTTACTGTGGTGTGGTGCTGTGTTAGTGTGGTGTGGCGCTGTGTTAGTGTGGTGTGGTGCTGTGTTCGTGTGGTGTGGTGCTGTGTTAACGTGGTGCAGTGCTGTGTTAGTGTGGTGTTGTGTTAGTGTGGTGTGGTGCTGTGTTAGCATGGTGCGGTGCTGTGTTAGTGTGGTGTCGTGCTGTGTTAGCATGGTGCGGTGCTGTGATAGTGTGGTGTGGTGCTGTGTTAGTGTGGTGTGGCGCTGTGTTAGTGTGGTGTGGTGCTGTGTTAGTGTGGTGCGGTGCTGTGTTAGTGTGGTGTGGTGCTGTGTTAGTGTGGTGCGGTGCTGTGTTAGTGTGGTGTGGTGCTGTGTTCGTGTGGTGTAGCGCTGTGTTAGTGTGTTGTGGCGCTGTGTTAGTGTGGTGTGGTGCTGTGTTAGTGTGGTGCGGTGCTGTGTTAGTGTGGTGTGGTGATGTGTTAGTGTGGTGTGGTGCTGTGTTAGTGTGGTGTTGTGCTGTGTTAGCGTGGTGTGGTGTTGTGTTAGCGTGGTGCGGTGCTGTGTTAGTGTGGTGTTTTGGTAGTGTGGTGTGGTGCTGTGTTAGCGTGGTGTGATGCTGTGTTAGTGTGGTGTGGTGCTGTGTTAGCGTGGTGCGGTTCTGTGTTAGTGTGGTGTTGTGTTAGTGTGGTGTGGTGCTGTGTTAGCGTGGTGCGGTGCTGTGTTAGTGTGGTGTAGTGCTGTGTTAGCGTGGTGCGGTGCTGTGATAGTGTGGTGTGGTGCTGTGTTAGTGTGGTGTGGCGCTGTGTTAGTGTGGTGTGGTGCTGTGTTAGTGTGGTGCGGTGCTGTGTTAGTGTGGTGTGGTGCTGTGTTAGTGTGGTGCGGTGCTGTGTTAGTGTCGTGTGGTCCTGAGTTAGTGTGGTGTGGCACTGTGTTAGTGTGGTGTGGTGCTGTGTTAGTGTGGTGTGGTGCTGTGTTACTGTGGTGTGGTGCTGTGTTAGTGTGGTGTGGCGCTGTGTTAGTGTGGTGTGGTGCTGTGTTAGTGTGGTGTGGTGCTGTGTTAGCGTGGTGCAGTGCTGTGTTAGTGTGGTGTTGTGTTAGTGTGGTGTGGTGCTGTGTTAGCATGGTGCGGTGCTGTGTTAGTGTGGTGTCGTGCTGTGTTAGCGTGGTGCGGTGCTGTGATAGTGTGGTGTGGTGCTGTGTTAGTGTGGTGTGGCGCTGTGTTAGTGTGGTGTGGTGCTGTGTTAGTGTGGTGCGGTGCTGTGTTAGTGTGGTGTGGTGCTGTGTTAGTGTGGTGCGGTGCTGTGTTAGTGTGGTGTGGTGCTGTGTTCGTGTGGTGTGGCACTGTGTTAGTGTGGTGTGGTGCTGTGTTAGTGTGGTGTGGTGCTGTGTTACTGTGGTGTGGTGCTGTGTTAGTGTGGTGTGGCGCTGTGTTAGTGTGGTGTGGTGCTGTGTTAGTGTGGTGTGGTGCTGTGTTAGCGTGGTGCAGTGCTGTGTTAGTGTGGTGTTGTGTTAGTGTGGTGTGGTGCTGTGTTAGCATGGTGCGGTGCTGTGTTAGTGTGGTGTCGTGCTGTGTTAGCATGGTGCGGTGCTGTGATAGTG